AGTGGGTGAAAGCTATTTAAAAATGCCAAAGTATTCACAATATGGTCTGTAACTACAATAGCCATCACGTCATCAACATTATTCGCCCAGTATTTAAGAGTGATATTGACTCTATTCGTTTACAAGGGTGTCAAGATATTTTAAGACGAGATCAGCTAGAAATAAAGAGAGGGGACTTCCCATTGGAATACCATTCACTTGTTGGTATATGTTGTCATTGAAACATAAATATGAAAATTCTAAACAGATAGCGATTAAGTCTATAATTGTATTTGAAGGTAATTCAAGATTGAAGTCTGTTGAAGTTTGTTCTAGAGTTGCCAGCACTCTAAATTTGTGATCAAGTAAGGTGATTAATTTCAAATATCAAATAGTGCAAAAAATAAATGAACGTTCATATTGAATATATATTTATTTTTTAAAAGTATTTCTTGAGGATACATGGCAATATATTTGAACCTTGAATGAATATAGGGTTGAGTATTCTAACTAAATATTTATTAAAATTATATGTGACAGAATTATTCATTATTAGTCTTAATGGTGTATTCTCTTTATGTATTCTCGCCAAACCATAAATAATGGGCATGGATGCTTTGATCATTTTATGCCTTTTTAAGATTTCTTCTGTTAGAAAACCTTTCTTCTTTCCTTCTCTAAATTTTGTTTTGAACTTTTTCACTAAATCATCAATGCAGATGTTTTACACTTTAGATAGGAATGTTATCGGTTGAGAGTTTCTCCATTTTTGTGTAAAGTCGTGTTTGTTCAAGATAACAGTGGCGCTTCCCTTATCAGCTGTCGTGATAACAATACTTTTGTCTGTTCTTAGTGATTTTAGAACATCTTTGTTATGCATTACTGAGATTGTTTGATAAATTATTCTTAGATTTGTTTATTATTGGAATGATTTTATTGCTTAAATTAAATTTTTACAGCCTCATTTAGATGTTGAATAGAAGTTTCAACTGCTTCTAACGTTTTTGGAACATCAATTTGGTGAGATGAAATGCATTTCAATACATTTTATAATATCTCTGTTTCTTTTTATGGTAAAACTCTATAAAATATGTTTAAAAATAGTACAAATGTCAAATTGTACTGGGATAAGATGGATAAATTAAGAAAAAGGTATCTCCTTATCGTGCAACTGAAAGTTGCTGATGGCTTATGCCATCTGTCGAAATAAATATCAACTATTCATTTATTTTTAATTATTCCATAATTGACCAAATACCGACAGATGGCGCAAGCCATCAGCAACTTTTAGTTGCACGATAAAGAGATGCCTTTACTTAATCCATAGGATAAGTTATAAATAACATTTGTTTTATTAATAAGGCTTGAGAAGACAGTTTTTAACCCAAAATATATATTTTTTAAATGTCTCAATCAGTCTTTTGATTGAATTTGTTTCCATATCACTTATTTTCTTGAGTTTTTAATATTTTGAGTCAAATATATCGTAGCTAAGATTATTAGATAATTGGTTTAAGATGTTTGCTTTGATTTTATTTAGCTTACTAATTTGAGTATGGATGGCAATTTGAAATTCTAAGAATTATAAGTTTGTATCCAATTTTTAGAAAGAATGAGACATTCATGGTTGAATGAAAGATGTTTCCATCATGATAAGCTCTTGTAAATTTCCTTCAGTTTTCAACACAAACATAGGGAAGAATGTGGTCAAAAGGGTTCGAGTCAAAAGGCGATCCATTGAATGTGTTTATATTATTAAAAGGCGTACTTCTGTATCTGTTTAAGAAAAAAAAATCTCAACTTTTTTAAAGGGATTACTCTTTCTTTATAAATTTATTGCACACTAAACTTAATTTACAAATTCTTATAGATCACATGGAAACAACTTTGTCATTGGTCAAAAATAATAAATGCTAATTACAATTTTTTAAATTAGTAATTGAAAATTGAAATTTAAAAAAATATATATTTTTCCCTTTTTTTTTTTTTCTGAGAGAGATTTATTATTTTTTAAATGTATTATTATAATTTTATTCCTACCTAACTCTATGTCACACTTGTGTACACTATATAACATACTGCATCGATATTTTTTACAAACGCCTTCAATTTTCATATCTTTTTTTTTTTTTTTTCATTTATTATTTTAGACCAATGACAAAGTTGTTTCCATGTGATCTACAAGAATTTATAAATTAAGTTTATTTTGCAATAAATTGATTAAAAAAAGGAGTAATCTCTTTAAAAATTCTGAAAAAAAGTTTTTTTTTTTATTAAACAGATACAGAAGAACGCATTTTTAAAAATATAAACACATTCATTGGATCGCCTTTTGACTCAAACTATTTTGGTCACATTTTCCCCTTTGTATAGAAAACTGAAGGAAATTTACAAAGGCTTATCACGATGGAATCAATATCTTTATTTCAATCATGAATGTCTCACAGTTCGTTTCATTTCACCTAGCTTAAAGCTAAAAGACCCAATTTTAATCAACAAATCTAAATCATTCTTGCTAAATATTGGGTAAAAACTTCTTAAAACATCGTAAAACATCTTAAACCGATTATCTAATAATTTTAGATCGGATATATTTGATTCAATACAAGAAAAACTCAAGGAAATTAGTGATATGGAAAAAAATTCAATCAAATGTAGACATGGAAAAAGAATGCCTTTTAGGTTCAAAAATGTGGTTTCCTAAGCCCTATTAATGAAACAGACGTTATTCATAACCTATCCTACAGAGTTTTAACAGAAAAAGAAATAGAGACTTTTATTACATGGATTAAAATACATTCTATCTCACCCAATTGATGCGCCAAAAACGTTAGCACCAGTTGAAACATCTATACAACATCTAAATGAGACTGAAAAAATTTAATTCACTCAATAAAATTATTCCAATAATATACAAGTCTAAGATAAATTTATCAAACAATCTCAGTAATGCAGACAAAGATGTTTTGAAATATCTAAAAACAGACAGAAGTATTGTTATCACAACAGGTGACAAAGAAAGCGCCACTCTTATCTTGAACAAACACGACTATACACAGAAATGGAGAAACTCTTAAACTATAAAATTCTTATCTGAAAGTGAAAAACCTCTGCAATAATGATTTAGTAAAAATTCAACAAAAAATTAACGGAAGGAAAAAAAGAAAGATTTTCTAACAGTAGAAATCTGAAAAAAAAAGCATAAATTGATTAAAGCATCCATGCCTATCATTTATTATTCGCCAAAAATACATAAAGAATATATACAATTAATATCAAATATTCCATCCTGTAATTATGTTTCATAATTTTCATAAATATCTACTTATTATACTCAACCCTATTCGTTCAGGGTTCAAATATGCTGTCAAGAATCCTGAAGAAATACTTCCAAAAACAAAAAATATAATATAAAAAATATATAAACAATGATTTATTAGCATTATTTGATGTTTGCAGTTTATTACACTGCCTTGATCACAAATTGGAGTGTTGACAACCCTAGACAAAACTTTAACAGACTTCAATCTTGAATTACCTTCAAATTATAAACTTACTAGCGGATGTACCCGGCTTCGCCCAGGTTTTTCTCGAGGGAATGTTTGTAGTCTAGTAATAAGAAAATATACTACACCTAAAAACTATCAGAGAAAAGAGAAACCACGGAAGGTGAACAGAAAAATGCTTACAATGGATGTTATGTTTACGATATCAAGTTAAATAAAAAAGAAAGATAAAATTTGCATATGTTGGTCACTATAAATTTGTATATTTGTTAGGCGAAATTAGAAACATGATAAAACAATTGGGTATTTAAAAACAAATGTAGAAATAAAAGTTGAAGTATAATAAACAATGTTAAAGATTAGTTTTAATTATTAATCAAGATTGTGTGTGAATATGTGAGAAAGATGTAATATCGTTGTTGTTTTCTTGGCCGACTGTTTTACATATGGTGTTATCTTAAAATTGCTTGTTTTGAATATTTTTTAGATTGATATTATTAGCTAGTATGTAAAAAATTAACTCTGTTGAAATTTAATTTTGTATTTATATATAAATAAAATTAACTCTGTTGATTTTTTTTGTATTAAATCGATAACAGCGAAGTTACGCATGTTAATGTTAGGAAATATATTTTGATGTTAAGCAAAACCTGCTCCATCTCGTTTTACATAAATGTTGAAAATTTGGTTGAAATTGATGCATTGTAACGAAAGTTTTTAGTGATGTTCACTTATGAATTTCCATTTTATTAATATAGATTGCGCGCGCGTGATTATCTGTTTAGAAATTTCATATTTATATTTTAATGACAACATATACCAACAATGTGTAAAAAAGTTTATATTTGTTCCTATAGATGGCGCAAGCCATCAGCAACCTTCAGTTGTACGAAAAGGAGATGTTTTTTTCTGTTCTTAATATACCAACAAGTCAAATATATTCCAATGGGAAGTCCCCTCTCTCCATTTTTATCTGATAACGTCTTAAACTGTCTTGACACCCTTGTAAACTAGGGTTTAAAACCACTATTAAGTACTGGGCAAGATATGCTGATGACGTGAAAGCCATTGTAGCTACAGACCATATTGAGAATACATTGGCATTTTTAAATAGCATCACCTCCTTTTAAAATTCACGGTTGAAAAAAGTCAAATATCGTCCTACCCTTTCTTGTATATACTCTTCGAAAAAAAATGGACAAGTGTGTTACAATCAATTGTTTACCAAAAAAAAAACCACTAACCAGTATATTTCCATGCCAACTCCTTAGGTCTTATCTCCCATATAATTTCTCTGGTAAAAAAACTCTTATCAAGCCTGATGTCAAACTCAAAAGCTCAATTATAGAGAATTGAACATCATTTTTTCGACTAAATAATAATAATAAAATCATATCTTATCTGACCGAAGGCCAAGTCTACAGACACAGGATATAAGCCTTCACTCTACATTGCTGTCGGTCGTACTACTTGGTTACATGTAGCAGCTGCAGTCTTGTTATTTGTGTACCGTATACGGCCATACCACATTGAAAACAACGGTTCTCGTCCGATCACCGAAATTAAGCAATGTCGAGCCCGGTCAGTACTTGGGAGGGTGACCGCCTGGGAACACCAGGTGTAGCTGTAGGCTGTTACCTTTTTCTGGGTTCGAAAATCATACACTTTGGTAAGTAGCCCGTGAAAAACCATATTCTCCTTTTTGTGTATCAACGTAGACATGCTGACATTCGCTAGTAGTAGTGTTGACAATGTTCTCGACATTGGCCTAGCTACGCTGGTATAGCTACTTTCTGTCCATCTGCGTAATACTCTACGTTGTGGTTTTTACAAACAATAAATTTAAACATCTCGCTAGCTTCATTAACTAAGCATAGCTTCTTTTTTCACTATATTTAAACATAATTTCTTCAAATTCTACAATTATCTCTAGGTCTTATTGATTATTAATAGTCGATTATTTGATTTGAATAGACTCGAAAAAATTTTATGTGATTTTTTAAATTGAAAATTGCAAATATGGAACTTTTCTCGACGAAATTACTATTGAATCGAATATTTTTATTAACAACGGCTTTAGAATTTGTATTAAATGTGATTATATAATATTTTTTATATTCTATTTATTAAAAATTCGTAGGTGTATATAGAAGTAATTTAAGTAACACTAAATATTTCATTTATATATATATATGCTTGAATGCCGTGAAAAAATACATATATAAACAACAAAATACTTGTTGGAATAAATAACGAAAATTAATTGACCTCTAAATATTAAAGGAAATAAAGGAAATGTTCAGAATTCTCTTCTATTTTATTAAACAAAATTTGCTTACACAGCCATTTCAGGTCCAAGTAATAAAAGTATTTTGTGATTCTGAAGTTAAACAAAATGAGTATGCTTATCGTTTGCTTCGCAATGTCTTCAAATTGGATTTTCTTGTAAAAGAGAGATATCTAACTTAGAATTTATGTGCAAAAAGATATTCAACAAGTTAGGTATAATGGGTGAGATAATTTTTATAATGTCGGCCATTTTCATAACCGTGACTGTAGTCGAAGGTTTCAAGGGCATTATTATCGGATGATAAAAAGAGGAGATTGCTGGCTATTCTTTCACCACTCTCCCTGCGGCTATTACTTATTGTAAACATAGAAAAAAATGGGGGTAGCAAAGAGTTAGTTGGACATTGCGGCGGGGTAGAAGTTTTATGGGGGGTGGGGGGTTCTAAACGATGCTCTTCCTTCATCTGACGCTTTGGAACTTAAGTCTTCTGCCTCCTTTTAGTTACGCCTGGGCGTAATTTCATTAAGTACCGTTACCATGGCAACCCTCCACTCCTTTCTTCTCGGTCCCATTATCTTCTGCAACAAGCTTCAGGTGGAGGTCGATGTTGTGAGGATGTTCCGACTCAGTAGTTGTGGTGGTGGCCAGACTGAGTAGTATACACTCACGACTTCCTTACCTTTTTGGTTACTATCCGTCCTCTTTCTCTCTTTTTCAGTAACATAGTTTAAATGCTATTGGGTATTGAATAGCGTAGACCCTCTCAAATATGTACTTGTATTTAATACGATATTAACATCGAGAAATCACTCAAATAAGAAGTTACTCGATTTTTTTTTATTCTATTAGGCTATGTGGGTATTCTTTATCACGAAATGTTTCTTGAAAATGTGTCTTGTCATTTTTTACGTATTAAATTTTATCTATAAAGTCTCTTGATCTGATGATATATGGGTTGGCCATAAATATTGAGCCACTTAATCAACCGAAAAATAACCATTTAAAACTGATCTTGCGGTGGTATATACGTTCTAATATTTCGAGTTTTTGCTTTAAAGCTATATCAATAGAGTTGATACCAGAAAGGATATCCGTGGCATGGCGACACTAGAAAGCCCATGAACCGAAGAAACGTCATCCACAAAACGTTCTCTGACCAATTCAGGACTGATTCTTGAGGCTGACAAACTATTAAGAGGATAGCTCACCATTGTCACTTAAGCCAACTCAAGATTATTTCATTTTTATGGCTCGATAATTAGTCTTCATATAGAATGCCTCTAATTATAGTAGGCAGGTAATCTGACAGAAGGTATTGTGGTATTCTCCATGAACTGAATTTCCAATCTGTTGAGTGAAGCACAACGAGTGCTTTATGTTTTGTCTTTTTATAAAATAGGGGTGTGTGTTACGAAAAATCGTGTTACGAAACATTACGATATATTTATTCTTATTCGCGCATTTCAAACAACAACAAAAAAACTATTTTTGCCTATTAGGACGATTTTATGTAGCCCTTGCCAAAGATATTCTAGCTTCATATGTACTCCTGATGACCATAATTGAAATAGTATGGTCTTTTTATTGATTGGATTTGGTGAAACTATCCAAACACATCTGTTCACACAGAGAAAGTTATAAAAACGCACTATTCCTATTTAAAATACCTGAATCAAATACAAATATTTATATTCAGGCAATATAGTATATTTGAAAATTAAAATTCGAAGATATCTATAATCTAACTCAAAGATGTGGAGAAAGGTAAATATAACTTGACCTTTTTAAAAATTTAAATAGCATATTTGAAACAATGGTCACTAGAGTTGTTGAAGGAACAATGAGCGTTTTAAAATGTTACTCTGTCAAATTATATTGACAAACATTTTCAGTTTTTTTTTATCGGGTTTTAGAGGGAAGAATGTTGTCTTCGTTTGTTGGTGAACCAATCTCTCACGCCTTCTCATTGGACGAATGTGGCCATGTCTGTATATAAGAGAGGACTAAGGGAATGCGAGGGGGCCTAGAGCGTGGAGAATTGGTGTGGAGACACTTAAAGTGTTTTTCTACGAAGTTTTCCCTGTCTGGCTGTTCTCTTGGCATCCCTGTGACCCCAGTCCGATCCCTACCAACGCTACAATAAAGCTAAGTACTTTTTTAATTTTATTTTACGAATCGCTAGTTCTTATTTATTTCCTTTTTGTTGTTGGTGTTGTACTCTTGAGTGTACGCTTTTCTGTGTATTAAGGTACATTTAATTTCGGCCCTAGCTTATTCCATTTTTGTGTGTTAACCCGCAAAAGTAATAACTTTTGTCATTGGCGAGCCCTGCCAGGATTACTGGTGTTTGTTTGCATGTGTAAATTCCCGTAATTTTTACGTGCGTTTTTTTTTCTTTGTTTAAGTAGTTTATTATTATTATTTTGTACTCCATCATGTTTGTGAACTCTATGCTCTACTTGTCAGTGTTTAATGGGGTTGATCTCGAATCTTTCATTCGGGAAGTCGAGCTTAAAGCTCGAGTAGGCAAATGGGATCCTGAGGTCAAAGCACTGCTCATGTTCGAGGCTCTATCCTCTGAAGTTAGATTGAGCTTAGAGAAGATGGGTATCTGTAACGATAGCAGTTTCGAAAGTATTGTTAGTAAACTGAACATATTGTACCCTAAGAAAGCGCGTGGTATTAGGGAATGCCTTAAATTAATAGAAGGTCTTAAGCAGAGAGTTGGGGAAAGTCCTATGGTTTTTAAAGAAATATTCTTGGCCATTAGAGATAAAGTAGAGCACAGATTTGACGATAGTTTAGTTTTCGAAATTTTCCTCGAAAATGTGCTCGAAAAGTATAGAGAGGCTATTTTTCGCAGTGAGGCCAAATCAATAGACAAAGCAGTCAGTGTCATGGCCACGGAGGATAGTGTAGAACACCGTTGCAGCTTTATGAAAGGGGTATGTTCAGTAGAAGGGGTTGAAGAAATAAAAAGCATTAAGGGTGAGATGAAGATGCTTAGTGCCAGTGTAAACAGGATGGAGCACGAAAATGAGCAGTGTATTAAAGACCTTAGGGGTGAGATAGAAAAACTGACTAAATTGTTGGGCGAAATCAAGCTGAGTCCACCTGAGTGTAGGTTAGGACATAGAGCTAGTGATTGCTCAAGACAGTCTTCTATTGTAAATGAACAAAAGAATTGCTATAAAGTATGAAATAAAATAAAAATAAACGGTAGCAATACGTTTCTTTATACTTTGAAAAGATCCGAAAGCTTGCATAAAATTTCACGTATAAAGAAACGTATTGCTACCGTTTATTTTTATTTTTATTTCACAGTCTTCTATGTTTGCCAACCGCAATACTCTTGACAATGCCGAGATAGTGAACATACGTCCATATGGCGGAGATCAGTATGGAAAAATCTGCCAATAGTTAAGATGAATATTAACGGCAATATGTGGCACCTGTTATATGATACAGGAAGCCAAGTCAGTATTATTGATTCTGAAAAGTGCAAGGTCTTGAAGGAGAATTGTGACCATGCACTTAAAACTGTACGTATAGTGTCAGTGACAGGCCACGAGCACACACTTACACGTGTTAAAACCTGTAAAGTTGGTAACGAAAACGGCAGCGAGCTGGGAGAGATAAGGTTCTGGTTAATGTTACTCAGAGATAAGGGCTACGATGAGATTCTGGGAATCAACGATATAAGGGGATTGAATATCCCGTTGCCTCCCGTACGGGAGCGTTGCAACATGATTTCCTTGAAACCAGAAGACCGTGATTGTGTAGACCTTAGCTGCTTTTCCAGTGCACATAGACCGATGGGTTCAAGCTCCTTAGAGGGAAAATCAGTGAGGCACATTGAAAACGAGGCTGTAAAGTTGCCACCTACTGAGTTTAACATAAACTGTGAGTGTAGCGCTGGGTCTGTTAATAGTTTTAGAAAGCCTACCTGGGCTGAGAGGTTGAGGGTGATGCGGAAAGCAAAGGAAACTGTCAGACAGTTCATGTCAGGTAATTCTGTTAAAACGCTTATGAATCCTAGGCCACCTTACACCAGAAGTTTCGACAAAGGAGACCTGGTAATGCTAGCTGTTCCTAATAATAAAGGTTACTCCAACTTCTATGGGCCTTTCCGTGTGGAAGCTAGGGTCTCAAATGTTAACTTCAGAGTAAGAGGGGCACCATGAACGACGTGAAAGTTGTACATGTCGATAGGATGAAAGCGTTTATAAACAGGCGTTAAGAAGAGCTTTTAGCTTTTGGACTTGAGAGAACTGAATGAAATTGGATCGTTCGGTTTCTCATCAAGTAAGCGTCTGTCAGTTCCCAAAGTCTCTACCTATCAT